GAAAAGAAATTACAATGAGTTTTGGAAAAAAAAATAACTGTAACATGTTATCTCAAGTTAAAATTGATTCCAGTAATCATAATCAAAATTATTTATACAGTTTAGGATGTTACAAGGATTTGTGAATGGCTTAAAGCTATTGCATCAGTTTGTAAATCTACGGTGGGAGACCTTGTTCTCAGAAGAACCAGCAAAAAGATCAGTAAGGGTTTTTCTTCTACCTCTTATATTATTATTATATACCTATACACTTACCTAGAAGCCACTCATTTTCATTTCCCTGGATATAGGCTCTTTCCAAACTTTTGTTTACATTAGATGCTCTCCAAACAGCAGCATCATGTGTTGACCCAGGAAAATTGGGATTAACATTTATTATTCGCCCCTTAGCATTACAAATCTGCAATTGATGAATATAAAGGTAAACATCTAATGAAATTAAAAAAGTAAAGAAAGTATAATAAAATTAAAACTCACTACTTGGCAATTGATGCTGTAAAATCCTTTTCTATTGTAAAATATATTTCCTGGTGCTGTTGGATGTGATAAAGGTGGAGCAATAATACCAATGTGACTGCCATCGACAGCACCAATTGTATTAGGCATGCAGAATATGCTTAAAAATCTAGAAGGAAAATGCTCTGTTACTTTTCACATTATTACATTTTACTAAACATTCAAGTTTATCACTTATTTTTTCTACATAAGTGGGTACTTACTCTGCTTTATTTTCTGCCCTTTCTGCAGGTGTATTTGGAAAAATAATTTTCGAAGGTGTCAGTTTCCTTATAATTAAATTTGCAACTGTGTCCAGGCACCTGCTTACTGATGGTTGGCTTAAAGCCAGATTGTAATCTTGACCCAAGGAAGCTTGATAACTTCCTTGGGCAAAAAAATGAAGTGCACATAATACCTATTAAAAAAATAAAATAAAATGAGTTAGGTACTGCAAATTACAGAAAACCAAGTAAATTTTAATATGTGACAGGGAAGAAGGTTAAGAAATAAAACAGATTTATAATTATAATGACCTTGAGTTGCTTTGGTAAAGAACCCATTTGAAGTTCTTCGCAATCCAGAGCCTCTATTAAATACCTAGCACAATCACGAGGAAGCCTAAAAATCTTTTTAAATTTAGATTCTGGTAACAGGAATGGGTTGGAATTATCCCTCAGCTGTTTGGTGATGATTTTGTCCTCATTTATTCTGTAATTATTTTTAAAGTAAGCACTTATTGGAAAAGTATATTATGTAAAAAATTTACCTTTAAGCTACCTATAAAAACATCGTAGCCTTTAAATATTTAGCTTAAGTTTTTTATCCAAAACATACGCATTGTTATTATACATAAACTTACCTTTCTAAAGATTCCAAAAGAGCTATAATGACAACGTCGTCGTTCATTTTTACCTAACTTTTTTTATTCAAAATTTGGTTTAGTAAAACAAAATCACGTATTAAAACCACTAAACTATATAAAAAAAATAGGTACTCGGGGCAAACAAAGTTTAATAAATGGATCTTTCCACTTAATATTATCAACGTCGTATTTAACTATTAAATGACCTTTTTTTAAATAACAAAACCCATATCAAACCCTAACAATTAAGTTTAAAACTTAACTATAGCAATAATTTACCTAATTATTGGCCCCAAATAATCACATTTAAATTTAGAGAGGACCTCCGTATGTCCTTCTTAAATTTAGTGTGACATTTCTAATTTTAGAGAAAATATGACATTTAGAACACGTTTCAGAATACCATATAATCATCTAAATCTAAGTTGAATAACTTAGCGACGTCAATTTTAAATTTAGAGATAGTGTGTCATTCCAGAATACCAAATTGAATTTGACAACTCTATATCTAATTTTAGTTAGTTTTAGATATAAGTTGGCACGCCAGAATTGGGCCCATTGTACGGCTTTTTAAAACTTACGTATGCTCTTCCGGATTTTATGCAACAGCTCTCAAAGTGTCCCTCTTGATTGCATGCTTCACAAGTATGGTTCCTGGCTGCACATCGTTGTATGTCGTGTTTGACTCGTTTACCGCATCTCTTGCATTGATTGGGCTGCAGCAACCGGCCTGCACTGCGAGTTCCTTTTTGCTCATAGTTGTCCTTATGAACTGTCGTAGATGTATAGTTGGCCTTATGAGCACTCATGGTAGGTGTGTAGTTGACCTTATGAACACTCGTGGTAGGTGTGGTATCATCGTGTTCCGCAAGTTCTCGAGACTGTGCTATCGCGAAGATTTGTGCAAACGTTACCTCTGTCGTTTTGCCCTCGTATACTTCTTGGAGATCTGGCCATTTTTGCTTAAGGTCGATTTGAAGTTCTGCGTGGTTTAAGCCCGTGGCAAAACGATCACGTAACTGCCTTTCCAGCAACGGTCCGTCGTACCCACAATATTTACTAAGATGTTTTAAGCGGTTGGCGTACCGTCCCATGCTTTCGTTTTCTTCTCGGGTATAGTTCCAAAAATCATCCAATGCTTTGAATCTTGTTCTTCTAGTGCGAAATAAATCCAATAATTTATTTTTGACAACCTCATATGTCGCTCTTTGAAAATTGGGTGTCAGTGCAACTTTTATTTCATGGAATACTTGTGGTGATAGGCATGTGAATAATAAATCTTTACGCATTTCTCAGTACAACCTTCTCCTATTATGTCGCATTTTGTTTCGAAATATTCCACAAAATTTTCTACATCTGTTGATTCGGGTTTAAATTTTTCACATTCAAATTTCTTAATACCTAATATTAATTTTTGTGTTCGATAAAGTAGACTCTGTTGATGTCGTACCTGTATTCTCCGGCGTTGTCGGAACTGTATTCTTATGTTGTAGTAGTAAAATATTCATAGGTCGTTAATCTGGTTTTGTTGCGTTTGTTGTATTTCTAAAAATTTGTTAAATTGTTCTGTATCCATTTTATTAATACTCCTCGTCGCCAATTAAATAATACGAAATAACATGCTTTTCAGTTGGAAAATATAATTTAATTAATTTGACAAAATGACAACATCACTCAAGGTTAACTAATACAGGCATACACTATGGTTTACGAAAGGAGTCTACAACAGACCCAGCTCCAGCGATATAGAAATTTAAATCCGATTTTGGAGCAAAAATATTAAAAATGTCTCTCCTGTCACTCCTGTCACACCGCAAACAAAACGAAAGGATACTGCAACGAAACCGAGTCTACCAATAAGTGGTTCTCAGTTAAAAATCTGTACAGATTCGGCACAGAAAAGAATATGAAAAGACCCCGCTCCGACCCTTTATGGAAAGCGCCTAAGTAGAACATCCACAAAACAAATAAAACATAGGAAATTCTTTAAGTTTAAGGGTTTTGTTTTTGTTATTTTTGAGCTACAGAACCATAAAACACCCTCGCAGCTGTTTTTAAATATGAATAAGTACATAGAGACCATTTTTATTTGCACAATAATTGGGTGCTGCAAACACACTATGGTAGTTTGTACATACAAATAAATAACCCAAGAATCAACTTTCTTATCTTTTGTAATTTTTGGGTCGAAATCTCATGACCTCCATTTAGTAAAATATCATTGCAAAAAAATTAAGGTAATATATTGCCAGAATCGACGCCATTTGAAAAAAAGTAATTACGGAAATATATATATATGGCATTAATTTTTCAATTTTAAAAATGGATTTAAAAGTGATTACATTACATCATCATTCATTACATCTCTTTGACCATCAGGGCCGCGGTATCATTACGGTCAGTGCATTCGCCCAGATAGCGAAGGGTGCTGGTTCGACTCCCGTCTGTTGCCTGGTCCGCGTGTAATATTTTCTTTAGATTTAAACATCAAGCAGTCACATGCTTAAAAAATAAAAAATGTATTAATTCTCTAAACCTAAACTTTGGACAACAAATGTATCGTATCTTTGTCAAATGAAAAAGAGACTGATGTTAATTATGGATCATTTCGAAGTTAACAAATCAACTCAAAACCAACAGAATAGTAAGCTTTCTCATCAATATCAATATTTTCTATTACAGCAGCAATAGAAATACACCATCTGTGAAAATTTCAATAGTCTAACGATAACGATTCATTAGACACAGCCCGGTGACAGACAGACGTACAGCGAGTCTTCGTAATAGGGTCCCGTTATTGCCCTTCGGTTACGGAACCCCAAAAGAAAAGACTTGCTGTCGTGGACTTTTAAACTTTTGAAGGGAATCAATTCCGTCATAAATGTTTTTTGCGTAACTTAACTTTTTACGTAACCCACTCAATGGAAGTTCACAAAAGGGATATTTTTACCCGTTTTGGCGACATTTTTCATTGGTGCTCCGCTCCTACTAGCTACAGCGTCATATTATATAGCCTTAAGTCTTCCTCGATAAAGAGACAAATCAGTTCAAAAATAATTTTGCAAATGGAACCATTAGTTTCTGAGATAAGCGCGTTAACCAGACCAATGTTGCGACGCGTTCAACCAAACCAACACACAAACAAAACCTAGCACAAGCCGAGCGCTAGAGCCTTAGAGCATACTCAAAGGCTAGAGCTCTGTGACGTCACAGCCACCGCGCGGGCCTGTCGAAAACTTAAAGGAAGTAAATTGGTCATAACTTTGCTAATATTTGTCGTAGAACAAAAATTTAAACAATATATTTTATGTAATTCTTAGCTCTTTAATCCTGCATTCTCAACGAAAATCGTTACGGATCCTCATTTAGTGACACCAGTGGTGTCGACTCTGGCATGATTCTCTAAACTGAAAACTAAATTTAACATCAGCCTTTCTTTTTCATTCTGTATAGAAAATCCTATTATAGGTTTAGAGAAGCATGCCAGAATCAACACCACTTGATCTACATTATTAGTCTTGTTTTACAAATATTTAACATAATGCTGTATGGGCTTAATATCCTTATCTGTTCATCTTATAGAATAGGAAATTAAAAAATTAAGATGCAATTTTGACATTGACATTTTAAATCATTTTACGGAGAGGCGAGAGTGCGATCTTTTGTTTTGGTTCTTTTACCATGTGCTTAATAATTTTTTATTAGTGTCCAATATTAATACTTTGAGCTAAATAACAGAAAGATGCAACAAGCACATAGACCAGGAAATCTGAAGCAGAGCAATAAAGCTCATAAATCTCGCCACAGGTCCAAACGCGGAATATCAGCGGCAGTGAAAGGTTATTTTTATATTTGCTATAGTAAACAATTTATGTTTAATAAATTTCATATTTAAATAAATTTTAATAGATAGACTGCACTATCTTAAGATTTGCTTAATTTAATCAAAGATACAATACTTACCTTCTGTGTTGGTACGCCGGGCTCACTGGGATAACTCGCGCTAACTAGAAACACTGCCTGAATTATATCTAAATCATATGCTATAACGTATTCATTACAGGAAAAGTAAACGTTAAAGAGTTTGTCAGACGCAATCGCCACATTTTGAAGAAAGAAGAACGTCGACACCAATCCTTGCAAATACGTAAAAATAAGCGTGAGGAAGTGTTGTCTAAGAAACGTGCACTAGGTGGGAACCGTAACCCTCCGTTTTTAGTGTGTATTGTTCCTCTGAATGCTCAACTAGATGTCCAGTCAGCATTGGCTATTTTAAAAACTTGTTCTGAAGGTGCCATTGTTTCTCAATCAGAAAATGGCGTATTGCATATTGGGTATGTTATTATCATATGTTTAATTTATTACTGAAACTTACCAGCACATGAAATTAGAGATTTAATTGTTTATTGTCTAAACAGAGAATACTAATTCACATTTCACTCATTACTCCATCGCTATTCTGTGGTATTATTTATACAATTATTTTGGTTACAGCTTACCAAATTTCAAGCAACGTTTTTCCTTTATTTGCCCAGAAGTGGGGAATGACTTTGCTCTTCTGGATGCCCTTAAAATAGCTGACACAGTAGTCTTTGTCAGTTCTGCTCTAGATGATCCTGTGGACGATTGGGGAGAAAGAGTTTTGGCATTATCAATGGCACAGAGCATGCCAACTCCTGTTGTTGTTGCCATGGACATAGAAGGAGTCCATCCAAAGAAGCGTACATCTGAAAAGCAAAATGTACAAAAGCTAATCTCAAAGTGGTTGCCTGAAGAAAAAGTAATGCAACTAGACAAAAGTTCTGATGGATTGAATTTACTGCGTAGAATTGGAAACCAAAAAAGGAATGTTTTGCACCACAGGGAAAAGAGACCATATTTATTAGCAGAAGATGTTGAATATGTAGCTGATAGTGAAGGAGAGTGTGGCACATTGAAAATAAGTGGTTATTTGAGAGGAATGCCTCTGAATGTCAATGGTTTGATTCATATTACTGGGCTGGGTGACTTCCAAATGTCTAAAATTGATGGCCTTGATGATCCACATCCCTTGAGCTTGTCCAAAGAGAACAATAAGTCAGATTCAATGGAAGCTGAAGTAACTAAAGTTACAGTGCTACAAGTTGCAGATTCTACTAAACAGGAGAGCCTGACTTCAGAAAATATTCCTGATCCTATGGATGCAGAACAAACTTGGCCAACGGAAGAAGAAATTGAACAATCACAAATGGAGGTAAAATAAATTTGCACAACACTTATCAATCTGCATAATATTTTTTTGATCAATTAATGGCATATTTATATTATGGCATAAAGTAGTTTTAATCCAGTCAAGTAAAACTCAGCCAGTTGTCTGCACTTGGAAAAATAAGATATGTCTTTAGCAGAACTTTGACTTTTACTGGAGTTTGATAATTGAAAATGGCCATAAAAGCAAAATAAGTAAAAACTTTTCTTATTCTAATCTAGTAAATTGTTTAATTTTAATAAATTAATTTTCCAGACAAAAAAGAAATTAGTCAAGAAAGTTCCCAAAGGCTGGTCAGATTATCAAGCAGCTTGGATTGTAGAATCAGATGTCGAGGGTGATGGTTCAGATGACAGTGCAAGTGAGAGTGACGAAGAGGATGATCAGTTTATGTCATGTGAAGAAGACAACTCTGACAATGAAGAAAAGGAGGAAGATAATGATTTTGAATCAGTCACTGAATCAGAGGTTGGAGTGTCAGATGAAAAGTATGATGCAACTATAGATGCTCATGAAGAACATGAAATGCTGCAGAAATTGGCAGAAGCAAGGGAAGACCAACAGTTTCCTGATGAAGTGGACACTCCGCAAGACTTGCCCGCTAGAGAACGGTTCATGAGGTACAGAGGCCTGGAATCATTCAGAACTTCTTCTTGGGACCCTAAAGAAAACTTGCCAGCTGATTTTGCACGCATATTTCAATTCGAGAATTATGATCGCACTAGGAAAAGGATTTTCAAAGAAAATGAAGACAGTCTTATCAATATGGTATGATGAGATTTACAACATTCATTTGTGTACTTAACAGACATTAGCCCTTGTGCATAAGCTTAAATCAATATGAATATGAATAAATATAAAATTATATATTTTATGCAATGAATTATCATTATCTATTTTTAAATTAATATTATGTGCAGATATTAATCTGTATTCACTATTGTTTTATTTTTACAGTACGGCTTTTACATAACAATACACGTGAAAGATGTCCGTCAAGATCTATGGAAAGCATTTCATGCAGCAAATGGCTCTGCCCCCTTGGCAGTATTTGGATTATTACCTCATGAGCATAAGATGTCTGTGATGAATGTAGTACTGAAGCGAACTGGAGCAAGTGATGAGCCAATAAAGAGTAAAGAGAGGTTGATTTTCCAAGTTGGCTACAGAAGATTTATAGTTAATCCAATATTCAGTCAACATACTAATGGCGGCAAACATAAGGTAAGAAGTAATGGTCTAAACACAGCACAAGTAATTCTTGAGAAACTTTAATTTATTTTAACTTAATATTGTCTTTTCCAGTATGAAAGATTCTTCCAACCTGCATCAACATGTGTGGCATCATTTTTCGCGCCTATTCAATTCAGTCCTTCCACTGTTCTTTGCTTTAAGGTGAGATAAATTGAATTGTGTTTATAGTTTAAGTTTTTTAAGTAAGTTGTAAAACCGAACACATGCCTTTTCAGGAGAAAAGTAACACAAAACTACAATTGATCGCATCTGGTGTTTTACTGTCGTGCAACCCTGACAGATTAGTCATTAAAAGAATCATTTTGTCTGGTCATCCTTACAAGGTAAGTAATGGAACTATTTTAGCTTTTACTACTAAAATTAATGGGAGCAACAGAACTTTATATTATTGCACAAAGTTATTGTTGATTGCAATTAAGATACCATTAATTGTTGTTAAATTATCCAAACAACATGATGAGTCGAGGACAATGAATTTTACTGTGAAGAAATCAACTTATAACATTAAACATTTTGTAACATAAACAGGTAAACAAGAAGTCTGCCGTCATCAGATTCATGTTCTTCAACAGAGACGATGTTATGTATTACAAGCCTTGCAAACTACGAACAAAGTATGGGCGCACTGGCCATATTAAGGAACCATTAGGTATTTATTTTCACCATAATAATAGCCATTTTAGAAATTGTTTTTTTTAAAAATATATATATATCTAATATATAAAATTCTCGTGTCGCGGTGTGCGTAATTGAAATCCTCCGAAACGGCTCGACCGATTTTCGTGAAATTTTATATGCATATTCAGTAGGTCTGAGAGTTGGACAACATCTATTTTTCATCACCCTAAATGTTAAGGGTGGTCCACCATTAAATTTTTTGTTTTAATTTTTTTATAATACATCATACAAAAATGCAAAATTTGGGGTTGTATCCCCAAATTTTGACCCTTCTACAACCCATATTTTTATGGCGAAACGAACTTCGTTGGCTCAGCTAGTATATTTATATATATATAAATACATATCATGTGATTGATATTTATATTATTTAGGTGAGGTATGCATAATAAAACAATTAAATTCCAGAAAGAAGAAGAAGCAAGACTCATTTTTTTTTTCATTCTTTTATTATATTTTAGATTTCTTTAGTACTGTACTGGTTTATAGGAGCTATCTATTTTACATAGCTCAATAGAGTCTGTGCGGAAAGAGAATAGGATTTAGATTGGAGGGCGCTGTAGTGCTTTTCTACCGTATTTGTAAAGGACATTGCTCGTTCCCCATACATTGAATGCCCTATAACGCCCAGCAATGAGAAAATGCTAGTTGTGTTCGGAATCATTCATAAACTCTAATTAAGCATTTGTTGAGATACGGACAACTTGAGGAACCGTGGCCTACTACAGAATGTATTAGATTTTGAGGTTATAATTATTATACTTAATCGTAAAAGATGTACACTTTATATATTCTGAATAGATTTAGTTTTTACCTCTATGTAAGCACTTAAATAATATCCATTAAATGAACATAAAATGCAATTAATAATAAAAATAATAAATGCTTATATTCATATTGATTTATGAGTGTTGTCAGTTGGCACCTATGATACCTATACCTACCTGTAGTAATAATAGATTTCTTTTCAAATGAAATGTTCAGTCTTTCCATTTACCTGTTTCTATATTTTAGTATCGGTAATTAGGTATGTACCTGGTTATCAATATGATTTTCATTAAAAATAAACAGATATTACACGGGATGGGAGTATAAACTATCTTTACATAATTTCAGAAATAATCTTTTTATAAATATAATATAAATACTAGTAATAAGTATTATTGACTAAGGTACCTAGTTCTATTTTTATGGTCGCCTATATTGCATTTAATAAGGTAAACAATCTTGGCACAACTTTTTAACAGAATCACCCGTTTAATAATAAAATATTAACGAAGCCAATAAACTAATAAAATAAATCGTTATTATAGACTGAAACCCATTGAATCTAGTTATCAGTTGATTTTTAATGCTGTATTTTCAATAAAAAGGAGTGCCAAGTTGGATGAACAGACTGTAGTATCTAGTAACAGAACTTTAATTTTTTATTTTCTTAAACAGATTGTTCGTTTACAATGATTAATGGCTAATAACTTAAAAAAATAATAGAAAAATAATAGTGAAGGACATTCTGTTGGGCATGCTAGGGCCGATTTCGTCGATGTCCTTTTACCGCTTTTCGACATGATTAAATACAAAAAACCGCAAGAAATCACAACAACAAACAAATCTGTATCAATACAAAACTTTGACGTTTTACTGATTGCTGGATTTGATTTCCAAATAAAAATCTTAATGTTAGTTCCGTTTTTCGCCACGCCCATTTTCTTTCCGCACAGACTCTAACAGTAATATTTTCTGCATTATTTTTTTGACTAATTGCTTTTGTTTATTAGGAGACTAAACTTTTGTCTGTAATCAGTTTCTCAACATCAGTTGTGTCAGTAAAGCAAAAAAGGTCTTTATTACCATTTTTCGCTTTTTAAAATCGAAAAGAGCTCTTTATATTTTTTCTAAAATTGTAATAAAATCATAATTCTATTCTAGGTACCCATGGTCACATGAAATGCGTATTTGATGGACAACTCAAATCACAAGACACTGTGCTACTCAGCTTGTACAAACGCATGTTCCCGAAATGGACCTACGAAAATTGTATTGTCACAGACAAAGATTGGAAAGGCAGTGATGCAATCATGGAATCATAAAATTTGTAAATAAAATAGTTAACAAAGTAATTTGATAATTATTTTTATTTTTTGCCTTAGATATAGTTTTTTGAGAATCACTCAGCAACAACATTTTTTGAAGAAGTGTCTCAATCGTGGTAATAAACTATAAGTGTGCCAAATTTCATGTAAGCCTTTCCTTTCAGCCATTTTTGCGTGATTGAGTAACAAACAAACTTATTTCCGCATTTATAATTTTAGTTAGGATATGATATAAAATACCTTTGGCATAAGTTGGACCCATAGAGCACCCTAGAGACCGCATGCAAAGGCACTCGCTTGTTCCAAGCCTAGGCATATTACTACATGTGTATGTGTGACACACAATGACATTAAATACCCTAGACCACATCACGAACAAAATCGTGGCAGAAATCTGTCCAAAAGGTACATCTGACGATCCACGGAGCTCCGTAAGGTGATCGCATATTCAAAAACAAAATAAGGCATTATTTAAATACTGTAAGTCACCTTTAATGCATACTGTATAAGGTCTTATTTAAAACGCTTGTGCCAAGTTCGAAATGCAAGCTCGTAAAATTGTACGACTTATTGCTACTTAAATGCGGAAGAGTATAGACCTTATTTCTTTGATTCTACGGCCAATTCTGAATGCGCTGTTAGCAATATAGCAGGTACGGACCGCGAGGAAAAGAGACGTCTATATTACCAACTATACATTTGAATATCAAGTATCATAATAAAATTTGCTTCAAATGCGTTTAATTAACAAAGTGATTAGATACCTGTCGAAAAACGACACTTTATGTATAAAAGTATTTATTACGCATTTTTCACGGAGCTCTGCGGCATCTTGACTTTTCAACGGTCCACGCGTGACTGTGAACCAAGAAGTGCTTGAGTCGTGTTCAAGCACTTCTTGAATGGGACAATGACATTTTGAGCGCACGTGGTATATCTAGGGTATTTAATATCGTTGGTGAGACGCCTCCAGACGTTGCCCAATGGCTACTTAGATTCACCTTTATCATCCGGCCTTGACGTTACCCCCACACACGTCACCAACTCGCCTGAGTTGATTGATTTAAATTTCAAACAAAAAATGAGTAATGCGATCCCTAATGGTGGACCAAAAATAATAAATATTGTAGTGACAGGTAGGTAGGTAGCCAGTCTACAGCATTTTATGATTTTTGACCCCCCTCCACCATGTAACGTTTTTCAAGAACCCCCTCCCCCCAAATTGCGTTACGTTATACTTGAACGCCCCCTTTCCCATATAGAATCGCGGTAGCGATTCGGATCCGCGCGCGAAATTTTTGCAGAATAGCCCGCTGAACTGCATTTTGAATGACAAAAAGTTTTATAAACTTTATAGGTAAATAGTCTTTTTTTTAATTTAAATAAAAAACAATGTAACGTAACCCCCCCTGCCCCTGTAACGCATCGTAACATTTTACAAGACCCCCTCCCCCAAATTGCGTTACGTAATACTTGAACGCCCCCCTATCCACTGAAAGTAGGGCCGGATTTAACACAGGGCAAGCGGGATTGTGGTCCTCAATACAGAGATATAAAACAATAGTTATTTATTATACAAGAGTGGAAAGTTCCTTTTTAACCGCGTGCTCGATTTGGATGACCGAGCAAGCGAAGGATTCTAAAGTTGAATCACGAGCGCAGCGAGTGATTCTAAATTAGAATCCTGAGCGTCAGCGAGGGAAACAAACGAGCACAAGGTGAAAAATCTTTCCACTCGAGTGCAATACGTAACTTTTCATCCCACCTCAGCGAGGAAATGACAAAATGAAAAAGAAAACAATTTATAATGACAAAATATTTAAGCAATAAAACGTGAAAAACTAGAATGGCGCGAAGCACGCAAATAAAACAAAGAAACCAAGAAGGTTCCAAATTTAAATTTTTTCACAATTTAAAAAGTTCTAATCATAAATTTGGCACCATAGAGGTTACATTAAATAGGTTTAATGACGTTTTGAATTTACAATTATATTGAGTACTCATTATATGTGATGTTCTAAATTCAAATCTACTTTGCCGCTCAAGCGAATAAAATAGAATTTTCCAGCCAGATTTCGAAGCGCAAAATTACACTTTCCGAGGTGGTGGGATGAAAAATAGATTTTTAGTAGGACCTTCACTCTTTCGTTGCCTCAGGGTCTCGATACCTTTAAATCCCGGCCCTGATTGAAAGATTTTATTGATGATATGAGTTAGTTAGCAGGTGTAGTGTATTGTTTTTTTATTCGTAAACCAGCAAGGCTTTTTTATGTTTTTTAACGTCAGTCTAATAAAATATATTTTCATTTCATATGTCAATATTTGAAGATATTATAGTAATTTATGTTATTTACGGGATTGTGACCAAGTACTTTGTTTTTAGCGAGTCTCACGGAAAAACCGACTCCGTGATCATGGCGCTTGCAACAGTGCCGGATTATCAACAACTCTTTAATAACAAGGTACATGGTAACAATCCCGTAAATAACATAAATTACTATAATGTTAGTGACCATGAATGTTGTAAAACAATATATTTGAAGATAGCTCTCGACTCTCGCGCTCGCTACGAGCGTTGAAGTTGAGCAACTTTCACAATGACCGGTAATAGGACACCTGACCAAAGATTTACTATGTCGAGCTCCGTAATCGTATCGTGAATGTTTCTATGAAAACTAAGCAGCGTCTCCATCGGACGTAAGAACATAGCTTTCCATACAAAATTTGACGACGACGATACGTTTACGGAGCGGATCTGTCAAAATTCGTGCTTACGCCTCTGTAGGTATTAATTTACATTCCGAAATCATTTTCCAAAACTCACCACCTAAAGGGGTAAACAAATCTAACGCGAAGCCGCGGGGTTATTAACACCCGTGATTCCGTACTAGGCCCATGTTATGGGTCCTCGCTCGTTCTCCTCATTCTTTCCATGGGGCATCTATCAAGGCGTTCCCCAGCAGTGGAGACATTAACAGGCTGACGATGATGTTTCAAGGTAAATAAAATCAGTTGATGATATTTCCACATTTCTTTATTTCATTGACACATGAAGCGCAAAGGCTACGTAAAGCTACGTAGTAAACGTCATGGACAGCAATCTCACCGCACTAGTCTTACAATAATCAATAATCTCAAAGGCAGTTAGCGTATGTACCCACGACACAAGGGTGGCATGAACCATCAATATCATTTACTTTGACAGGCAAAAGAGAGATAAAATAAAGTACAATTGGACGTTGTTAAATGAAAAGGATACAACCCACCCAAACTTAAGTTTTGAGATATGATTTTTTTAATTTCAGACTGTATTTCTTCTTTGATTCTCAACTTTATCTTTTTGGATTCATATGAATACAAAATCATATTACATTTGAATTTTACTTGGATTTTTGTTGTGTTTTAATAGCATTGACGATATATATGATTTTCGATAAGGCTGTGGGTTGGATCCTTTTCATTTAACAACGTCCAATTGAGGGTATGAAAAACTTAACCACTTTTTAAATGAATCTTTGAAATAGCAAAATATCATCTGTTTATAAACAAAATTCAAAGTTGTAATTATAATATTCAGCAAGTTCTTAATTCGCCTCATCGGCTCCTTAATGCAAGTTGAAAAAAGAATGTTTACGAATGTTCCATAAAGGAACAAATTTTAAAACTGACTAACCTTTTCATACCGCGATTGTACCAACCAACAAAAGACAGATCATTTTCCTTACAATGTTACAATTGATTGGATGATTAAAGGTACAACATTTTCACTTGTTACAAAGTTAACTTCAGCTTGAAAAATTCAATGATGTTGACAATACCTACCTCAACCAGCGAGGTTATATTTTTGTACTATTCCTTATTAAAATAGGTTTATTCTCACGAGTCCGCGATGGATATATAAAGAAAAATATATTCAAGTGCTTGATTTCACGACAATAATAATTTTAAATATTTCCAGTCAAATGAAAAAATAAAGAGTTACCTCACATCCAACATAATTTAAAGAGGTCGTTATAATGACTAGGTAATAAAAACGCATAGTTATTATATTCAAGTAAATCAAAGCGAGATGCAGCTGAAATAATAGCACTCCAACATTGACAATAATTTCCTTTGAAATAAAAAGCGATAAATTTCAAACAAATAGTACTTTCTTGTGAACTTTTTACATAAACAAGTTAATATTTAGATTAATTTGAAATCAGATCCAGAACTTATACTGTTTGTCTGTTATAATCATGACAGGTTATACGAAACTAAAATTGTTTACAAATTGATTTACAACCTTAATGGTTTGACTTAACGTCTATAATACATGATTTTGCTTGATTTCTTAACGCGATCCCAACTGAGACAACCGTAACACATGAGTAAAGAAGGCACAGAGGCTATGCTTCACACAGTACGAGTGTGTGTGTGAGTGTGACTTCCCTTAGCACGAAGCAATATTGAATTCGAATAGTTTGCGAGTGCTAAATGTACTGATAGTTCTTGTTACGTCCGTTGTGGCGCTGTTGTTCAAGTTTCCATACAAAACTTGAACTTTGGACTCTCAAACTATTCGAATTTGATATTGGCTCGTGCTAGGGGTACTGAGGCCCAAGCCCGAGTTTTGTTTCACAGCTCCGTGGTGAAGTATCGTAATCGTCTTTCGTATGGAAAAAGCTAGTTTGTTCTTAAGACCGATGTGCTTAGTTTTCATCGAAACTTTGACTATGGGCTACGTTACGGAGCTTTCATAAAAGCTTTTGCCCTGAAACGACAGTGCTCACTTCTGGCTCAATTACACATGGTCGTTAGCACGTATTCGGGTACACGAAAGACCCTTGCTGATAATATATCAGTGGTAACAACAGGTGATAGAAAACTTAATCGTTTATCCGAATTCCATTGGCACTCGTATTCGGGCTAACGACCAAGTGATTTACTCATATGGTCTGTATTGGACCGCGTTAGGCCTAACCCGTTGGGACACAATTTTTCACAGATCTATGGTTATTTTAAGTTAGTATTTTTTATTAATT